TGATACATTCTTTACCATGGACTACTACTCAGCAATAAAAGGAATGAAATATTAGTACATACAACAATTTGTATGGATAGCAAAAGAAAAAAAAAAAGAAACCTCCAAAGGTAACACATGATGTGACTTCTTTTATATAACATTCTTAAAATGACAAAACTATGGAGACAGAGACCAGATTAGTGGTTGCCAGATGAAGAGAGGGAACGAGTGAGGGTGTAGGCTGTGACTATAAAGTCTTCTTTGATATTCTTATCATAGAACTGTCCTGTATCTTGGAATACAGTGGTAGTTACATGAATGTACATATATAAAATTTCAAAGAACTAAATAAATATACACATACACACAAAATGAAGGTACAACTGATGAAATTTGAATGTCAGTGCATTGTATTAACATAAATAAAAGGTCTATTTAACAACAAAAATGTATAATTTACTAAATTATAATAAAAGACGGAAAAAGAAAAACACAAATGATCGTCTGTAAAGATGCCACAAAAAAAATGACAAAATCCAATATCCATTCCCAGTAAAAACTCATCAACAAGGAATAGAAAGGAAGCTTGTCAAGCTGATGAAGAGTAGCTATAAAACTTACACTTAGGAGGAAAGCATTCCCCATAAGATCAGGAGCAAGGAAAGAATGTCTACTTTCACCACCATTTAAATTCATCATTGCACTGATGTTCTCGTCTGTGCCATGAGGCAAGAAAAAGAAATTAAAGACACAAAGAATGGAAAGAAGTGAAGTATACTTACTTAAAAATAATTAGTCATTTATGTAGAAAATCATATAGAATCTACAAAACTACTAGGATGACAAGTTTTGCAAGTTTACCAGATACAAGATCAGTATAGATAAATTAATTTTATTTCTATATGCTATCAACAAACTGAAATTTTAAAGTACTTTAAATAGCATGAAAAATAAGAAACAGAGAGGGATAAATCTGATAAGATGCATAAGACCTTTGTATGAAAAACTATAAAACAATGCTGACAAATATTAAGTCCCATAAAAATAGAGGGACTGTGTTCATGTACTGGATGACAGAGTATACGATTTACATGTAAATTCTCCTCAAACTGATATAGATTCAACTCAATCCTAATCAATATTCCAACAGGCATTTTGTTGAAAATTGTCAAGCTGATTCTAAAATCCATGTGGAAATGCAAAGAATCTAGCACAAGTAAAACAACTTCAAAAAAGAAAAAATGTTCGAGGATTTATACTAAGTTCCAGACTTCTTACAAAGCTGCAGTAATCAAGACTATGTGGTACTGACATCAAGATGGATAAATAGAAGAGTGGAAAAAAATAGAGTATATATTAGATATAGACCCGTACACAATTAATTTACACAAAGGTGCACAGGGAATTCAAAGAAAGGGTTGTCTTTTCAATAAATAGTGCTAGAAAAGTTGGATATTTGTATACAAAAGAAAAAAAAAAAAGAAAAATTGTACTTAAATCCAGACCTGGTATCAAGTAAAAACATTTACTCAAAATAAGACTTAGATCTAAATGAAAAGTAAAAATTAGAAAACTTTTAAAAGGAAAAATACATGAAACTCTTTTTGGCCTTCATTTTGGAAAGATTTCCTAAATAAATCACCAAAAGTGAAATTCATGAGAGAAAAATTGAAACTTGGACTTCACCAAAATTAAGAAATTCTCATTGAAAAACTCTACTAAGAAGATAAAGAGCAAGCCACAAAGAAAATACTTATAAATCAAACAATGGACTTCTATACAGACTATATGAAGAATTTGCAAAATTCAATAAAAACATAAGAAACCAACTTTTCAAATTGGCCAAAGATTTGAGATGACATTTCACCAAAGAAGATATACAGACAGCAAACAAGCACTTGAAACGACTATCAACATCACAAGTCATTAAGAAAATGTCAGGTAAAACCACATAAGATGCTACTAAAATTAAAATCATAATACCAAGTGTTGACAAATATGTGAAGCATATGGAACTCTCACACACTACTGGTGGGAATGTGAAAAAGTGCAGCCACTTGGTGAGTTTCATTAAAAATTAAATATACCCTGTATCATCCATCCCAGCTATTATACTCCCAGGTGCTTATCCAAAAGAAATGAAAGCATATGCTTACACAAATACTTTTCATGAATATTCATATAGTCTGTATTTGTATTCATCAAAATTAGAGACTACTGAAATTTCATTAGCCCATGAATGGCTAAATAATTGTGATATCTATATTACTACTCAGCAATCAAAAGAAATGAACTGTTGACACACCCAACATTATGGATAAAATTTAAAATAATTATATTGGGTGAAAGAATTAACATGATTAATTTATATGAATTTTTTAAATGCAAACAAATCTATGACAGAAAGCAGTCAGTGATTGTCTGGGTAAGGGAGGGAGGGGAGGACAGGCAGAGGCAGGAGATAGAAATTATAGTGAAGCACAAGGAAACTCTGCAGTGATAGGTATGCTCAGAATTTGGATTATTGTGATGGTTTCATGACTGTGCAGATATCAAAACTTAACAAATTTTACCTTATACCTCCTAGCATAAGGTGTCAAATCTTATACCTCCTAGCATAAGATATCATACCTTATACTATAATAATGTTTTTCTATTATACAATAATTATAGTTTAATAATAGTTCTTTTTTTAAAAGAAAAAAGCATTGAGTTTGCTATAAAGTACAAGTACAGATATATGGTTGTATTTAGAAGCAAAAATAAATAACAAAAAATAAAAAGCCAAGAATGTTGAAAATAAAAGAATGAAAAAAAAGGCAGAAATTTATCCTTACCTCCCAACATTCACATAAAATTAATTCCACCTTGATTAAAGATCTAAATGTTTCCAGAATGTATATGGAATTTCTACAGTTCAATAACAGAAATAGCCCAAATCAAAAGTAGGAACATACCCTGAACAGACAAGTCACAGAAAAGGAAACACCAATGACCAAGCCAACACAGGAAAAGATGCTCACGCTTTCTGGAAAGCCAAATCCCTATGACATTCCACCACAAACCAAACAGATGGGTGAAAAATGTGAGGATGTGGAACAAGAACTCATCACCACTGCTGGGAGTGTAATATGGCATTGAACAGATTCAGAACACATGTGGTATAACCTAATCAGGTTGAGGCGACCCACACCCATGAACCAGTCTCTGTGCTCCTAGGTATGCATCTTGAGATAAACACTTGCATGCATTTCCAAGGAAGAAATAAGAATATACAGCAACATTATTTCATAGACAAAAACTGAAAATAACTCAAATGTCCAAAAGAAGAGAAATGGTAATTCAACTGCATTAAAATATTCATATAATGAAATCAATACATAACAAATGTTAAAAGTATAAACTAAACTTGCACATTTTAATATGAATCTCACATATAGCTAGTGAAGGAGGTATACAATATGGTACTATGTGCAGAGATGTTTACAAACACACCAAAAGAACTCTCTATATGGTTAAAAGATCCACTGAAGGGATAAAAAGCTAAGGGCAGTCACAGGCATGCTAATGCTGAAGTCGGATTCTCAAGAGGCGGGGTGAAGGAGCGGGACACAACCAGGAAAGGTATCACCAGGTATTACCTGGTCTTATATAATGGTATATTTCTTAGTCTGCAAGCTTCCCTGGTAGCTCAGTCAGTAAAGAATCTGCCTGCAGTGCAGGAGACCCACGTTCAATCCCTATGTCAGGAAGATTCTCTAGAGAAGGAAATGGCAACCCACTTGTTAGAGAAATAAAATAGAAGTAGTCTTGTCCAGGCTTCAGAGGCAAAAGAGCAGAGCGGGCCTCTGACCTTGCTTCTGACCTACCTGGACACTGCCCTGACTACTGCTGTGGATGTCAGCTACACCTGCTGTGAGTGTCAGAAGAGAAACACAATAGATATCATAGGGAGCAGATCTTGGAGTTTATTAAGCTCCTGGAGGGGGCCTGGCCAACTAAGCCCTGACCTTAACAACATTCCAAGTTTTACATGACAAAACAAACAGCATAACACGAAGCCAGAACTGCAATTTGCTCACAGATTGATGATGAGCATCCTGTTTGCATCCTGGGATTATAAGCGGGAACCCCAAACTGCAATCTTTGAAGTCTCACCCACGGAGCAGACATGCTGCCTGGGGCCTTTTCCCAACTGGAACTCCTTATGTGCTGTGACATGGGACTTCCCAGCACTGTTTAAGTCTGAATGTTGGTGAAAACCCAAATTGGTGATGTCCTCTGCTCTCTTTCACTTTTCTTTCAATGTTAGTATATTGAAAGTAAGCCAGATAATTCTCTAATAAATATTTTTATTACTTATTTGTATACAATGAGTGGCTTATTTTGTTGACAAATCCTTTAAACCTGAGACAAAAGTGAAAACTTTCAGCAAAACACCACTACAGTATTCTTGACTGGAAAATCCCATGGACAGAGGAGCCTGATGGGCTACAGTCCACAGGGTCACAAGAGTTGGACATGACTTAGTGACTAAATCACCACCACCACTTAGGCTGCAGGGAAGGCAAACTGGCACTCATTGTATAATTCTTCACATTCTGGTATAATCTTAAATAACACATCACAAAAGAAACAAAGTTATGGGAACTTATGTGGTAGAACCGCTGCATGAAAACATTACCCGTTTAAAAATAAAAACTGGACAGAATCTAGCAGGGATAGATGACTTAGTCTCAGAGGACAAGTGTTATGTTCAAGATCAGGTCAACTAACAAAAGTTCAAGAATGGGAAGATCCTAGAAGTGTTGGACAAGGGACACCAAGTGAGTGGATGTTGCTCTGTTGGGGAGGAAAGAGAAGGTGGCCAGGGAAGCCCTCTCTGGGCTGAGTAGGATGTCATGGAAGGCAGGCCTGAGGAAGAGCTTCCTCCTCAGAAGCTTACAGATGCTCCTCTTTCCTCACCTGCTGAGCACCTCACTGCCTTGATCTTTGTCTGCCTTCTGTTTTCAACTTACCTGCACAAAGGTCCAGAAGACATTCACTCTCCTCTCTCCAGGGCTCGTCTCCTTGTTCCAGTTGTATGATGAGTTTTGGTTTAGGAAAGGCAATACCTACTCACAGGGGAAAAAAATCAAGGTGACCTTTGGTTAGTGACTTAAGAGGCTATCACAGAACTCAGAGTCAGCCAGGGAATGCAATGACTCAGAAGCGGGTAGGAAAGCCAGGCAGGGGGGATGGATGTGGACAAAGATTCTCTGAATGCTGAGAAAAGATGACTAAGGGGAGGGAGGAATCCTGGCTCTGAAGGCAGTATATGATTCTCCCCTATGCTTGAATGAATACAAATACTCTGTCGTCTGAAGTAAGATCACTTTAGAGGAGGGCCTGGTCTTGGAAGGGGCCTCGAAATGCAGTGTCATATCACACAAATACACACACATGCACAACTTCACCATTTCCAACTCTACAGAATCCAGACACTCTCTGAGGTACAGAGAAAACACATGTTTCTTTCTGAGCCAAAAGCATGGTGGCTACTCCATTAAACATTAAGAGGCCTATAGGCAGAGTCTGAGACATGGGACAAGTCATCCTTACCCAGCGACACCATATGGCTGTAGTTCTCCAGCATTACATCCCGATACAGGGTCCTCTGAGCAGGACTCAGTAGCTTCCACTCCTTCTGGGTGAAGGCCACAGCCACATCCCTGAAGGCCATTAATGCCTAAAACACAAGCACATCCTTGCTCACCCAGAGACCACACAGGCCCACTAGTCAACTTAACCTAAGTTACCAGCCAGGGCTGAGGCAGCAATAAGGCTGGCATGGGACATCAGGTGAGATCCATAGAGCCTGCTTTCAACCAGAATCCTTTGCCATGTATTCAAGACTACTAAACCTCTTCCCACATTGCTGGGGGTTCTATTCAGGGGTTCTCTATTCTGTTCTATCAATCTCTAAGCCTATGATGCTGTGGAAAACACTGTTTTGATTGATTAATGCAGCTATACCACAGGTCTTGAAATCAGATAGATGGATTCTTCCTCCTTTAGTCTTCATTTTAAAAGATTATTTTAGCTATTCTAAGGCATATGCCTTTCCATAAAAAATTTTAGAATAATCTCACCTGTATCTACTAAAAACTATTTCTGGAATTTGGACAAGATTTGCATTAAACCTGTATATCAATTTAGGAAGAACCAACATCTTAATCATATTGACTATTCAAATCTATGAACATGAGATGAGATGTCTCTCCATTTACTGAGATGTTCTTTGATTTCTTTCAACAGCTATTGTGGTTTTCAGTATACAAATCTACATAGGCTTTGTTTAAAAACTCATACCTAAAAATTCCTTTGTTTTTCTTTTTTTAGTGATTTTAATGGTACTGTATTTTTAGTTCAATGACCAATTGTTCATGATACAAAACAATTGCCATGAAACAGTAATAAACTGTATGCTTATCCTGAATCTGGCAACCTGGTGGAACTCACTCGCTCTACTTTTTTTTCCTCCTGGATTCCTCAAGATTTCCTATGTAGACAATCAGAGGATTTGCACACGGGGGCAGATTTCTTTCCTTATAATCTATGTATTTTATTTCCTGTTTGTGCCTTAATGTAGAACTTCTAGTGTGATAATAAATAAGAGTGGTAAGAACAGACATCCTTGCCTTGTACTTGATATTAGAAGGAAACATAATGTCTCAAAGCATTAAAAATACTGCTCCACAAATATACCACATCACACTCATTAGGATAGCTATCACCAAAGAAACAGGAAAAAACATTTTGGGAGGATGTGGATAAACTGGAGTAGAAACTGGAGTAGGAAATGGCAACCCACTCCAGTAATTCTGCCTGGAAAATTACATGGGCAGAGGAGCCTGGCAGGCTACAGTCCATGGGGTCATAAAGAGTCGGACATGACTGAGCACACACTCATGGAGAAACTGGAACCTCTATTTATTGTTGTGGGAAAAGTAAAAAGATGTGGTTTCTGTGGGAAAGAGTTTAGCAGTTCCTCAAAAAGTTAAATATACCAATAAAAAAAAAGTTCAGTTTATCATATGATCTAGCAATTTGAATCCTGGGTGTATACCCCCAAAGAATCAAAAGCAAGAATTCAACATACTCATACACTAATGTCCATGACAGCATTATTCACAATAACCCAAAGGCGGAAACAACCCTAACGTCCACCAACAGACAAACAGATAAGAAAATGTAGTACGTATATACACATAACTGTACGTAATTCAGCCTTAAACAGGAAAGAAACTCTGATACATGCTAAATCAAGAGATTAGCCTTGAAAACATTATGCTAAGTGAAATAAGCCAGTCACAAATGACAAACATTGTTTGATTCCACTTACAGCAGATACCTGAAATAGGCAAATTCATGGAGACAAAGTAAAACAGAGGTTACCAGGAACTGGGAGGGGGAGTGGGTTAGGAACGGATAGTTATTATATAATGGATAGTTTCAGTCTGGGAAGATGAAAAAGTTCTGGAAATGAATGGTGATGACTGCATAATGGTGTGAATAAACAATGCCACTAAACTGGACATTTTAAAATGGTGAAAATTTTATATTAAGTATATGATTATATTTTTAAAAAAATAAGAATAATCCTGCTTACAGATTTTTTTGTAGATGTCCCTAATCAAGTAAAGGAGTTCCCATTTCTATCGTATGGTGGTTTTTACATTTCCCACAAATGTTTATTGTATTCTGCCAAATGACTATAATGCATCAGCTGATATAATCACATGCTTTTTCTTCTTTAGCCTGTTAATATGGGGGACTATACTAATTAAGTTACAGAGTCAGTCTTGTGTCCCTGGAATAAACCATGCTTGATAATGGTGTACAATTATTTTTACATATTGTTGAATTTAATCTGCATAATAATTTAAGGATTTTCATGTCTATATTCATAAGAGATGTTGACCTGTAGTTTTCATTTTTTCTATTGTTCTTGTACGATTTTATTACCAGCATAATATCTGCTCCACAAAATGAATTAGGAAGTGTCCTTCCTATTTTCTGGAAAAAAATCATGTAGCATTGGTGTTTAAGACTCCTTTAAAAATTTGGCAGATTCTGCAGTAAAATCACCTGAGCCTATACATTTCTTTTGTAAGAGTTTTTAAAACTATAAATTGGACTATCTTTGGGTTTTTTTTTTACTTTCATCATATTTTTTAATTGAGGTATAACTGATATATCACACTGTATTAGTTTCAGGTGTACAACATGACTTGATATTTGTAGATATTGCAGAATGATCGCCACAATAAGTCTAGTTAACATGCATCACCATACATAGTTAAAAAACTCTATTTCTTGTGATGAGACCTTTTAAGATCTATTCTCTTAGCAACTTTCATATATACAATACAACATAACTAACTGTAGTCACCATGATGTACAGTACATTCCTATGACATTCATTTTATAACTGGAAGTTTATATCTTTTGACCCCCCTTACTCATTTCACCCACACCCCACCTCCTGCTACCACCAACACCAGTCTGTTCTCTATATGTAACCTTTTCTTCTTTTCTAAAGATATATAAGTAACAGCATACAGTATTTGTCTTTCTCTGACTTATTTTCTTTTAGCACGATGCCCAAAAGATCCATCCATGTTGTTCCAAGTGGCAAGATTTATTATGGCTGAAAATAATATTTCATTGTATGTCTGTACACATATGCATATATTCATCAATGGATGAATGGATGTCTATTCATCCATTGATGGACATTTAGATTGTCAACAACTTAGGTTGTTTCTATGGTTTGGCTAATAATTATAGCCCTGTTCAAATTATCTATTCCATATTTGTCAAGTTAAAGTACAATAGTTTATGTTTTTCAAGGAAACCAGTCCCTTTTTATCTCAGTTGCCAAATGTATGGGTGGATATTCTGTTGATGGCTACAGAGTATGTAGTAATAACTCCTGTTTCACTCCTGATACTGGCAATTTGTGTCTACTCCTTTAGTCTTCTTTAAAAGTTTTGTCAATTTTATTATTTTCAAAGAATCTCTTTATTTCTTTATTTTTTATTTTCTCTATTCTATTTCCAATTTCATTGATTTCTGCCTTTATCACTATTATTTCCTTCCATTTGCTCCTCTGAGTTTATTTTGCTCTCATTTTTCTAGGTTCTTGAGGCAGAAGCCTAGATTCAGTTCAGTTCAGTTCAGTCACTCAGTCGTGTTCGACTCTTTGCGACCCCATGGACTGCAGCATGCCAGGCCTCCCTATCCATCACCAACAGATGGAGTTTACCCAAACTCATGTCCATTGAGTCGGTGATGCCATCTAATCATCTCATCCTCTGTCGTCCCCTTCTCCTCCTGCCCTCAATCTTTCCCAACATCAGGGTCTTTTCAAATGAGTTAATTCTTCACATCAGGTAGCCAAAGTATTGGAGTTTCAGCTTCAACATCAGTCCTTCCAATGAACACCCAGGACTGACCTCCTTTTGGATGGACTGGTTGGATCTCTTTGCAGTCCAAGGGACTCTCAAGAGTCTTCTCCAACACCACAGTTCAAAAGCATCAATTCTTCTGTACTCAGCTTTCTTTATAGTCCAACTCTCACATCCATACATGACCATTGAAAAACTATAGCCTTGACTAGGCAGATCTTTGTTGGCAAAGTAATGTCTCTGCTTTTTAATATGCTATCTAGGTTGGTCATAACTTTCCTTCCAAGGAGTAAGTGTCTTTTAATTTCATGGCTGCAATCCCCATCTGCAGTGATTTTGGAACCGAAAAAAATAAAAGTCAGCCACTGTTTCCCCATCTTTTGCCATGAAGTGATGGGACCAGATGCCATGATCTTAGTTTTCTGAATGCTGAGTTTTAAGCCAACTTTTTCAATATCCTCTTTCACCTTCATCAAGAGGCTCTTTAGTTCTTCACTTTCTGCCATAAGGGTGGTGTCATCTGCATATCTGAGGTTATTGATATTTCTCCTGGCGATCTTGATTCCAGCTTGTGCTTCCTCCAGCCCAGCATTTCCCATGATGTACTCCACACATAAGTTAAATAAGCAGGGTGACAATCTACAGCCTTGACGTACTCCTTTTCCTATTTGGAACCAGTCTGTTGTTCCATGTCCAGTTCTAACTGTTGATTCCTGACCTGCATACAGGTTTCTCAAGAGGCAGGTCAGGTGGTCTGGTATTCCCATCTCTTTCAGAATTTTCCACTGTGATCCACACAGTCAGAGGCTTTGGCATAGTCAATAAAGCAGAAATAGATGTTTTTCTGGAACTATCTTGCTTTTTCGATAATCCAGCAGATGTTGGCAATTTGATCTCTGGTTCCTCTGCCTTTTCTAAAATCAGCTTGAACATCTGGAAGTTCACGGTTCACGTATTGCTGAAGCCTGGCTTGGAGAATTTTGAGCATTACTTTACGAGCGTGTGAGATGAGTGCAATTGTGTGGTAGTTTGAGCATTCTTTGGCATTGCCTTTCTTTGGGATTGGAATGAAAACTGACCTTTTCCAGTCCTGTAGCCACTGCTGAGTTTTCCAAATTTGCTGGCATATTGAGTGCAGCACTTTCACAGCATCCTCTTTTAGGATTTAAAATAGCTCAACTGGAATTCCATCACCTCTACTAGCTTTGTTCCTAGGGATACTTCCTAAGGCTCACTTGGCTTCACATTCCAGGATGTCTGGCTCTGGGTGAGTGAT